AATATGGATAGGTTAGTTTTCACAGTTAATATAATTGCAAGTAAGAATAAAGATAAGAGAGAGAGACACGCAAACTTTAACGAGGTTCGAAGGTGGGGTAATCCTTCTACGTCCTCAAAATCCACTATGTAGTTGGTTGTTGAATAATGAACCAACAATTACACTTGTGTGAATTTCTGCACGGTATATCTTCACAAGACCAATGTTGCTACTGCACTCGTGCTGGCTTTGTTGTTCCTTCGAAGGTCAAGCTTCTTCAACAACTGCAAGATCCGAACAATAGGACTTGCAAGATCAACTTGTAAGAGAGTTGACCTACCCCCCTTTAATCAATAAGTTTGATCAAAAGTAATATCCTTCAACGTGGTGTGGTGCTTGAGGCAAGGAAACCTTCAAGTGTTTACACTATAGCTTTTTGGAAGGAGGAGAAGTTTGCTTCTTGATAAGGAGTTTAGAAATCTCTCTTTATCAAGCTTTTTGGGCTAACTGTGAATGAGATAGCTTTAGTGATTGCTTCGTTGTGTTGTTGTATCAACGTATCTCATCGTATTCTCTTCAGTCTTCCAAGGATGCTATTTATAGCTGGATTGGATAATCTATCCGTTGAATCATAATAGATTATCCGTTGCATTTGTTGGCTTCAATTTTGAATGAAGATTGTGATTTGAAGATTCTTCGTTGAAGTGGGTGTTTGGACGTACCCAATTGTTGAGAAAGGATTCCTTCTTCCACAAAATCCGTCTTCTAGCCGTTGTTCAAGATTTCAAGATTGTAGCACTTTACTCTGTTTGTCTTCTAGTGCTTGTTTAGGAATTCTGGACAGGTTCTTCAATTTTTAGAGATTCAGACTTTGTCTTCGAGTCATTTGTTCTTGAATCAGCATAATTATCTTCAATCTAGCCGTTGAAAATCAAGAGATTGATTTTTCCTTACCAACGGGTAGAATTTCTTCATTCAATACTTAGATAATTTTCTAAGTCTTTTCTCACTTGTCCGTTTTTTGAGAATTCCGGTCTTCCTTGAGGCATCCGGTTCTTAGCTGACAAATCCGGAGAAGTCATTCTCAGACTTCCGGGTGAGAGAGAGATACGCGCTAGTCTTCCGATTTGGGTGACTTAGCCTTCAGCGGGTTGTAGCGAGACATCCGATTCTTATGTAGTCTTCCGGAACGGAGGATTTTCATCTGCTTGAGAAATCCTTACTTGTCTCTAGCTTTTCCGATTAAGATATCCAATTTCCATATCACTGAATTTGATTAAGTCTTCAGGCATCAAAACGCTTAAAGAAATATCACAACCTTATTGGAAAACTCAAGAACTTGGTTTTAACAATATTTCTAAAAAGAAAAATTACATTGAATATTGGGGGAGACCTAAAGTCCCTATTACATTCTAAATACATCATCATCAAAATCTATGATATTTTTCCCAACA